AATAAGAAGTCAGTATCTAGTTATTTTATATAGATAATGAGTAAATACTCTTCTCTCATTTCATGAGTAAGAATAGCTGAAGTGATATCTCAGTGATATCTCACTATTAAGAAAGAGTAATCTACTGACCTTGTATAGAAGTGAGGTTCTTATATTTATTAATCAGATCTTTCTATGATATATCTGAATAATGTTATAAAGTGATTGAAAACTGGTTTGAATAGTCTGTAGAATGAATGAAATTATCTGTATGAAAGTAATAAGCTGTGTGAAACCGCAATGAGGTCTTGACACGGCTGAGAGTATAACACTTCTTTACTTTCTTTTAATACTACAGTTAATAATTAATTTAATTGACTTATTTATATTTTTTTCACTTTAAAAAAATATAATACTGATAATTAATCTGAGTTATAAATAATAAAATTCAGTTAATTAATAATTGATTTAATTAACTTCTTTATTTTCTTTTAATATTATAGTTAATAATTAATCTAATCTGTAATCATTTAATTATTTTTTTTCAACACTGCAGCTGATAATCAGTTGTAATTATTTAAATAATTCAGCAAGATGTCAATTGATAACTACATAGTTCACTTTGTAAACTAATAGAGATTGACTTATTAAAAATAAGTTGATAGAAGTATTACTAGATTCTTGCTCTTTCAGCCTGTTATATAGATTTCTAGACATGAATACTAATAATACTACTATTTGCATTGTTGAGCCTTTTTTTTTTCCCGGCCCTGGAGAGCTTGGTCTATGTGCAAACTGTGCTTGAAATCACGCAACACCCACTTGATCATTCACTCTGACTTGAGAACCTCTCTTTGACTGGTGGTCACTCTTCTGGCTGGAATGCCAGCATTTGATACATCAATTCTAGAGGAGCAACTGTTACCTCCCAATCAAACTTACCTACTCAATGCTTCAATACTTCCGCTCACATTCCTCAAATGCTTCATCAATTGGAGGCCACACATCCTGGCGTTCTTTCGGACGTCTATCCTGGTTGAAGAATTGACTCCGTTCGTCCCATCGCTCCCGAAAGTGGGTTGAAGCTTGGTACTGATCCTTTTTTGGCTCATTTACCTGTCGCTTTCAATATCGCCCCTTTGTGAGGGTCGAACAGACGTAGCACGGGGCTTCAGCTTTCACAGTCCAGGAATATTGTGAAGTCTGCTAAATTAGCCCTGTGCGATGTGTCACAAACTGAAGGCATAAGCTAAATAGGTACCTAAATAAGTACGGAGAAGCCGCTCACCCAAGATCTCTCAACTAGTTCAAGTTTTAACTCCTAGCGAACTTGGATGGATTTTCAAGGAGTCAAGGATCCCCTGGATATCCACTCAAATACCTGCATTCCTGGCTGATCAAAGATCATGTCTATCCACAAGAACCGCTTGACCACCCCTCGAACCTCAGTCCAAGTCCCAAGGCCAAGCGTGGAAATAGTTTGCACCATTAGAACTTGCAACCACCCTGCATCGAAATTATCAAATATGGATATGGCTGCCACGAACGTACTCCAAAGGAGTAACTCGGCCATTTCACAAGAAGTCTCTGGGAAGAATTGCTGTGCACGCAGAGCCACTTCCAGTTTGTTCGCTAGGGACGCCATCTTCCTCCCAACACTCCGAATTTTGACCAAAAGATTCTTGACATAGGCTAGCATGCATAGCCTCAGCAACTCCGGAAGTGAAAGAGGGTCGAATTGAAGATGAAGAAGCCGGTACGGAATCGATGTGCTAAATTGAGAAACGAGGCTCTTGCTCATCTTCACACCGGTCTCATCCGCCTTGTTCGCCGCTCTGGAGAATTCCCGAATATCAGCCCAGATGTTCAGGAGTTTTGGGTCTAGTTGTGAGTGAATTGTCCCTAGTTCTGGGAACCTTGTCGTGGTGCTTCCTCGTGCAATCTGAGGGCTCCAAGAGACCTCTCCCTGGATGAAGCGTGGCGTGCTTCCTGTTCCCATTGCAAGTCCGAGGTCGATCCTACACAACTTCCAAATAAGTTACATCCTTGCAACAGGCAAAAAGAAGTTTGTACTAACATTTGCGCCTTGTGAACGATCATGTTCCCTTCTGCCAGCGAACCGACGCCCCCACGCAGCTCAAACATTAGATACAGGCCATCCATATGTTTCTGCGCAGCCTCGATATCTCCTGTCATTATTGCCGCAATCGCCAGCGATGTCACAACAGCCATTGTGGTGAGTTTTGTCGCCTCCTTTCTGTTGTTTATACGTTGCTGGAGATATACGATGGCCCTTGTCATATGGAACGTTGCAACCCTGCCGTACGAAGTCCCCAGTGACAAGTCATAGAAAGCCTGTGCAACAAACAGCATCGAGTGCAACATTCCTGGGTCTTGAGCCAGATTGGAGAAGCGAAACAGATCGTCCCTCGCCCCACTGGCAGTGATCGCCTGCAAGGTGTAAGTTGATGGCTTAACGACGGTAAACGCTTCCATGGCAAATTAGCGAACTGCGTTCAATAGACCTAAAACGGACGCACTCGGGATATTATTCCTTACCCCGATAAATGAGATCAAGCATATATGGTTTGAGCTCAACCCCGTAACTGAAAAGGGATAGCTCCGACGCAATCATTCGTGGTGTCGCGAGGACACATGCCAACTCATCATCGTCTTCAGATTCTAGATTTCGAAGCGACTCTCTGTTCCGTCTGGACTTGCGTGTGTTCTTCCCGCGCATGACATGGCTGCGGATTAATTTGCGTGTCTTTGAGTCTGGCTTGTCGAGAGTCGTGCTAACGATAAACGGAATACAATTTTGTCCCGCTGATGCCATTGTTTTGAGCCTGATCGTTCGAGATCCGTCGCGTCGATGCGGGTTGAAATATTGTTTTTTTTTTCCGCTTGGGGATGAGGCACGCAAATTGCTGCGCCCGTGCCAAGAATAGATTGTATTCCGATTTGGGAATGGTTGATCTGGACAGATGTGACTGCAAAACATCTCTGAATACATTGGATAAAAACTACGACTCTTGATCATCGGCGCCTGGATACTACCCGTTTCGTCCCGAGGATTAGGTGGATAGAAAAGTCTATATAAGTCGCCCTTGACCCCGTCGATCAACTCACGGATAATCTGCTACATGCAATATCAGGAACAAAACTCGATACTTAGTATATATACCAGGCCCCTCTCCATTCTCACCATGTCCTACGGCAATACCTTTGATCCTGTAAAGGATATCCCACCGCTCAACAACAAAGTAATCCTCATAACAGGAGGAAACAACGGCCTCGGAAAGCAATCCGTGCTCGAATTCGCAAAACACAACCCCAGTCGTATCTGGCTGGCGGCGCGCAATGTCCAAAAGGCGCAACAAGCCATCGACGACATCAAACAGCAACTGCCCGAAGCATGTAAAACAACCATTAGTATCCTGGAACTAGACCTCTCCTCTTTCGAATCGATAAAAAATGCAGCAAAGATCGTTCTTGCAGAATCCGACCGCCTTGACATCCTCATGCTCAACGCGGGCATCATGGCCGTCCCCCCGGGCCTCACAAAGGACGGTTACGAAATCCAATTCGGCACAAATCACATGGGCCACGCACTTTTGACGAAACTACTTCTTCCACTCCTGATCAAAACGGCTGAAAGCGGCAGTAACACTCCAAACGGAGGAGACGTGCGAGTCGTGAGCCTATCTTCCCATGGCCATACACATCTCCCCAAAGGCTGCTTCAACTTTGAGTCTCTCCAGACCACAGGTGAAAAACTGGGAGCGTACACATGCTACTTTCAAAGTAAGCTTGCGAACGTTCTGTGGGCAAGACAACTAGCGAAGTTGTATCCGCAGTTCACCGTTGCAGCTATCCACCCAGGCGTGGTACGAACGCAACTGATGGAAGGGGCAACAGGCTCAGCAGCAATTATAAGAATGTTGGTTAGAGTCGGGAGCAGGTTGTTGACGCCTGTTGATCGGGGAGTCAGGAACCAGCTTTGGGCGTCTGTTTCGAAGGATGTCCGGAGTGGAGAGTACTATGAGCCTATTGGGGTTAAGGGGAAAGTAAGTGATGATGGGAAGGATGATCAACTGGCGCGGGAGCTGTGGGAGTGGACTGAGAAGGAACTCAGAGCACATTGTGTTTGACTTGAAAGGGGTCTTCTCGGTCTGGGTGAAGGTCATTTCCGAGTAATTGGGATCATGTATCGAATGATCGTTTATTGGGCCTAGGGTGCGGCGAGGTAGATAGAGAAAAATTAGGTAGAGATTAAGGCCGGCGGGAGCCTATGCTTGTTGAGTAGTCAATGGTCAGCATTGTCATGCAAGGCTTTTGAACAATTGAGGCTTCAGGTACAATAACCCTCAAGTAAATCAACTAATAACTTGAAGAAACCAAATTTTCGGATCAAAATATGCACAAGGTTCAACTAAGCCTTCTTTTAATGGGTCCCAAGCACTTCCAACAGCATATAAATGCTATGACTGCATCTGCATCCCATTCCAGCTCATTGCGCTGGGGACGAAACACCCTGACATCCCATACCAACAGGAATTCCAAGCACCGTGTAGCTTGCATTGAACCGTCTGAAAATTGTCTGTGCCTAGCGCGACGAGACGTAGCCCACACAGGCTCGTAGAATCTAGCTTCATCAAAGTTTTTCCAAGATATCCCGTGGTGGTACCATCGATGGTAAACAATCCCATACAGAAAAAAAGAATTAGTCTCAACACAACGGAATCGAAGCGAAATCTCCTGCGATAGGTGCAGGCAAGCAGGTTTTTTTTTTTTTTTTTTTTTTTTTTTTTCCCTCGCCATAACATATTAAAAGCGACCAATCCCGTTATCAAAACATGATCCTACATGTAGGCAAAGACTTTTTCCACATTCTCCACAACAGCTTGTAGTTGACAGCATGTTGAAATTCGTCGGGGTGATGGTGAATGTTCCAAAGCGCGCGTTGGATGTGACCCACAACCTCGCGGGTCATCCTCGTCCCCGTTGTAAGTTTCGAGTCCTTAAAAGTCGCGGTACATGCGCCCGCGCTCGAACCAGAATGCAGGGCTTGGAATAACACCTCTGGCGTACTGCAAGCTTTCCATGTCACTATAATCCAAAAGGCCATAGATCAAGTGGAGAATATCCTCAGGTGAATGCAGCCCAATCTTTCTTTGTTCATCAACATTGCCTTCCACATGTAGTGCCGCAAACAACTCAGCATCAGAGTCCCTGATGCGACACAGGTCTTCCTGAGAGAAAACAGGCTCACTGACATGCCTCATCGTTGGAAGACACGACGTGAGATGCTCCAGATACCTGCAAAACCGTGACAGCCACTCACGATCTATCGATTGGGTCCCGGTGTTCAAGGACGTGAGCAACAACCGTCCAGCATGTGGCATGGATATAAGGAGTGCGGACTCGACCCTTGTAGGGGCTAATAGAAACTCAACCAGGCGAACTCACTGTCATCTGATGTTTCAAAACCCTCACTGCAAAGACGACAATACTCACCGCTGAGAAGCATGTCAAACTTGGCCCGGTTCCAGCACCGCCCCTCCCCATCGCCAGGCCAGCCTGCCTTCTTCATCTTCCTAGCCAGCTTATCGTGGCTAAAATCATCGCCAGAATCAGACCAAGAGTCAGGTTCAGACTCATATTCCCAGCCCATGTTCTACCCATCACAGATAGGTCCAACAATCCAGTGCCGATCCAGCTTAGCTTCCGGTACCGCTCCTTGCAGAGTGCAAAAAAGTCAGCAAGTTCGTACACATTGAAACCATACCGGCACCACTCATTCGCCTCATCATACTGGCCGTTCAGGTCGCCCCAGTAGATGTAGCCGTCGTTGGTATCCAGGATAACATCATAACCGTTCCTGCCCCTGCTGATCGCGATGGCGGCGCAAGAAGGTGGAATCGCCGGGTCTTGCCCAGTATATGACGGAGCAACGCCTTCAATCTCGCCCTCGCGGATATCTTTCTATGTATGCTCTCACGGCGGTAGTCGAGAATCGGCGTGTTAGTCATGATGAGGGGCGCAAATCCGTTTTCAGAATAGTCAACGTAGGGCATGTTGAAGAGTAGGTCGATCAAAGTATCGCTCCTCTAGAGGCTGGCCAAAGGTCTCCTGGGTGATCGAAGGCCAGCCACCAGCAGGAGCCTGCACGAGAGGGGTATCCGCCTCCCAGAAGACACAGCTACAGAAGTTGTAGTAATCTGTCATAAGACAGATGAATTCATCTCGATCGTACGCCATGATGGGAGTGATGGGAGTCAATGGCTCTCTGTCAGTTCGGTAAAAAAAAAGAGGTATTATACAAGAAAGTTCGGAGGCCACGTAGTTAGCCGAGTAGACTAACTTCTTCTGGCCTGGATGCTCTCACAATAATGCATTACTGCGTATTGTTCTCCATGCTCAGAACCAAGCAGTCCATATCAACTTGCAAGGTACCACTTGATTCAAGCACCACTTCTCTCCAACAAAAGGTTCCATCAACATCCCCCTTCAAGAGTGGTACTAGAAGCTAAGCTAAATCAGACTTAGCTCATGAAACTTATCAGTGATGAGGAGGAACATGAACTGAACATATGAGTCTGAACCTGACTTTGATTCTGATTCTGAGAATGATTTTTTGCGGATGTACCAATCAAAATTAGATAACTATAAATGCCCAGTCCCCAGTGGACCACACAGGTTATAATTTTCCACGCATCCCTCCCACATAGCTTTGGACAAGGCCATATCTTTCCAAGGGATAAAAGTGCTTGACAGCCTCGCCGCTGAACACATAGCTCAGTTGCAGTTAGATGTTCATCATTGTGGAATAACGCAGTTAGGCTGTTGTTATATTTCAGAATCTTCAATGAATTCAGTTGCTCGGAGGATATTTACACAAAGGAATTGTCTTACAGTTGACACCACGCGGTGTATACGCATTCAAAGAATCTCAAGATAAAGCTAGAAATTAATGCAACTTTGGAATGAATAGCCATAATATGTGAGCTCATCTGTATTATGACAACTGACGATCTAATTAATGCTCACCTCACTGCTTATTTAATATTATGTGCTTGAGAAATATCGTGAAGCACCCATCGTCTGCTTCGCCAAATGATAGAGATATGTGAGACGATGATGTCGGCTCCTATTCCGGCAGCATTTTCCCCACAGCTATATTGGAACGATTATCCGGACCTCATTTGGAATGGTCCAGGTCCCTCGCATGTTCATGTTCCATATGTCATTTATATGTCATATGCCTGCGCAAGTGAATCCGATGAACCCAGGAAGAAATGTGCCAGAGGGGTTTCCACTCGCACATGCAGAGTGTCCCAGGGGTCAATGATTGTAGACAAAGAGCATCCCCTTAATTCCTGAGGGGAAAACGCGGCTTGAGTCATTATTGCCATTTTATCAGTCGTCAACCAACAACTCGAAAATCGCGGCTACGGCATTTTAGGCTGCTTTAAGTAAGTTCAAGGTGCATCCGCACACAACCAAAAGTTACGATGCACTGATATTCCCATTAACCGTCTCCTCATCGGCCACAGATATTAGAGATGTCTTTTGCAAACCTATACCGAGTACTCCATATTCCGTACCAATACCAAACCAGCATGCGTGGTCTAAGCATGTTTGCTCTGTTTGGCTTGTTTGTTTCCCATGCCGGCTCGGAGTTTGCTGTGTTTGTCCCGTTTGTCCCGTTTGGGAATTGGTTGGATGCAACCTTCGGACCCAGGTTATGGGCGTTAGGCTTGGGGGAAAGAAAAGAAAGAAATAATGGAAGGAGAGCTCTCGTTTCTTTTGTCTTGGGTTGTTGGAGCGACGTGCTCGGGGACAAAGACCGACACCACGGGGCTCGGGTTTAGGCGGTGATAACTGCGGCCGTAAGAGCGAAGAAGACGCGAATTTATCGCACCACAGTGGAAAATCGCGCCCGTGGGCCTCTGCAAATCCGGAACATTTGGGGAATAATGGGTGAAAACAACGAAGAAAGAAAGGATAAAAACAGAAGGGAAAATAGTACGCTGAGAGATTGGAGAGGCCTAGGTGAACGGTAACTAACTTTAACATGCTAGACAGCATTTAATAAGTAAGGTTCTTATTTTCTCGACCGGGCCTCTTCAAGGATACGATACTGTACATAACCTGCGAACATTTTAAAATTGGAGTCGAGTCGGAGTTCGGGGTAATTGTATCCGGAGATGGGTGGCCCGGCAGTTGAGTCATTGCGGGATGGAGGCTGACGTCGGTGGAGCCGAGGGAGCCAACCAGAAAGATTGGGCGTGATAAAGTTCTCAGGGCGCGGAAACAGGGAGGGGGATGGCAAAAAGGTTCCTTGCAACTTTGCAAGTTGCGCGGAGAGTTTGAGCTGAACTGATATGGGCAAGCCTGAAGTCCAGGGGGGAGAAAGAAGATGAGGAGCAATCACCAACAATGCGACCGTAGGTTCAATGCAACCCGTGGGAGGCCGCTTCTTTTAAACTCAGAACCGCGCATCAGCTTGTGCTTGTGATACGAGCGGTGACATACTCGACATGGGGATATGTGTACACATGTACGGAGTACTCCGTACGTACTATTAAATATTTGTACATACCGCCGTCTGACATCCCGAAAAAGCCACAAGGGGAGGAAGATGGCCCCCACGGTTGGATTTATAATCAACCAGCGCCTCTTCTAAACCAGCGCCAGGCAAATACTTAATATCGACTAGCGGCTCTGTCTCCTGCTGCTCTCGCCCCGCAAACCACGCCGATTGGCCAATGGACGCCCGCGCTTGTGCTGGCGGCTTGGTCTGGGCTCCGGTGCTGCTTTACAGCCAAAGTACGACGGCCTCCGGCTGCTACGGTACCGTACGCCGCGTCAATCCTTCCTCGCGCGCTTGGCCCACTCGCCCTCTTTCCTCCTCTCCTCTTTTTTCTCCTCGCACACTCATCATCATCCTTCTCATCATCCATCGCGCACCTCTCTCTTCCTCTCTCGAACGCATACCTAATATCTGCCTTAGTTGCTTGAACTAACCCGTCTCTCCTCTAGCCACACTCCTTCTCAAAACCCCTCCGCCGTTGGTTAGGCCATCTATTCGTCCCCTCACCAGCCAATCTCAGCTCATTGCCTTCCATCGCATTCTCCCGCTCATTTTTTTTATTTTTCATTTTTTCTTCTGGCACAACTACAAAACAAGCCATAGTAACATTCCCCGAATCTTTCCAGTAGCTACCGCAGTGAATCGACCTCTCTGTTTTATCCCGTCTCATCCGCTCATCCTCGACATTGGCCTTGCCTGTCATCAATACTAGCCGCGGGATCATATCAAGCCCCTGCTTCCGTCATTCCTACTTGCGTCATACCCTCGTCTGCCTTGACCCTCGTCTGGCCGCTGGGAAAGAAAGATAGGGCAAACAACCCCGATCTGCGGCTTCTCACTGCCTTCAATCTCTCATTTACTTCATCTCGCTTTACAATCTTCCTATCCAACCTCCCCGTGATTTATTCTTGTTGAGGACTATACCCCGTATCGCCTGGACTCTCTCTCTCTTCCGCTCCGCTGTTCTTCCCTAGGACCTCAGTCACCTCTGTCCTCATATACCACCTATTTTCTCTATTCCAGGGGCTCGAGGTATAATTTCTGTTTTGGGAGTTAAGATACACCTAAAAAGTTCGGAAAAGGTGTTAGAATTGGCGTTGGACTTGCCGGGGAACCGCTTTAAACCGTTTCTTTATAGGCCTCCTGGAAAAACCTCGCCAGACTTCTTTGTTGCCTTTTCCATTAACAGGAACCCCAAGGAACTCTCCACCTCGAACGCCTACATTGTACACAGTTATCGAGCCAAGATTCTTTGTTCGATTGTGCCAGACGATACTCTGTTCCCTTATATATACTTCTCCACCTTGGTCAGGGTGGTCATAACCTAACCATCTAAGAATATATTATACCCATCGACGGCTCCAGTTTCCTCGATACCAACCTCTTATTAAGAAATTTAAAAATCACCGTTGCAATTTTTCTACTCCTAATTTGTTCACTTTTTATCGTCGTCTCCTCTGGGTTGTTCTAACTCCCGATCTATTACTATTGTTACGCTCTTTTTTTTTCTACCTCGTCTTGTACGAATACGTTGGCGATGTCTAATTTCGATTCCCTCTATGAGCGTAGCCTTTATCTATCGCCTGACCAACAGGACCTACTTCTCGCAGCGCTTTCATCTGGCGATAAATCTTCCAAAATGACCAAACCCGACCATCGCCACAACCCCCAATCCGATTTCAATTTGCAAGACTCTCGTCCCAACACATCGTCACCACAAGATAATTCATTCGATAATACAGGGGTATCCAATCAGGACTTGTTTGAATCGCCACCAGAGGAACCCCTTGACCTTGGACAACTAGGTTTTGATGGAAGCCCCTTCTTAGGTTTCGACCTTGACGTGGATTTTGATCCCAATGAAGATTTGATCGGTGATCTTCCTGGACCTTCGCCAAATGGCGAAGATAATGAGCAGAGGGAGAAGAGAAAGAGTATTGACGGAAACGAGGAGGAGGAAAGCGGAAAGAAACGAAAGGAGACTGATGACAAAACGGCTAAGAAACCCGGCCGAAAGCCGTTGACGTCAGAGCCTACCACTGTGGGTTCCTCCTTTTCCCTAGCGTTTATATCTTATGCGTTCCCCAAAATATGGGTGTTTTCTTGCTGGGGCATGTTTCTCTCTGTTGTACTAATCACTTATCCCCTTGGTAGAAACGGAAGGCTCAAAATCGGGCTGCCCAAAGAGCTTTCCGGGAGCGCAAAGAAAAACACCTCAAAGATCTCGAAACAAAAGTGGAAGAACTAGAGAAAACTTCCAAATTAACGAATAATGAAAACGAACTTCTTCGCGCTCAAGTCGAAAAGCTCCAAGTGGAAGTCAAGGTGTATCGCAAACGCTTGTCATGGATAAACAGTGGGACCAGTTTGTTGCCATCAACGAGCTCTGGCATGCGTGGTTCGGAGTACAGGAATGGCTCCCATCATAGTGGCAACGACTTCTCTTTTGAATTCCCCAAATTTGGCGATCTCCCGAGCTCCCACACGTTTAGCCAAAGTTTATCGAAAGCTCCATCTCACCACACCAAGCATTTAACTGCGTCTCCGACCACTACGGGAGTGGATTACAAAAGTCCCAACAAGAGTAGCGGAAACTTTTTCAAAAGCGCACACCTCGCACCACAGCAACAGACTTTTAACCCTGGAAACACTCCTCACTCTGTGCCAACGCCCGACAGTATGAATTCTAGTGGCACTCCCAGCTCACAAGGGCGAAATAGCCAGAGTGCTAGTATAGAAAACCTAAATGGATTTGACACTTATTCAGGCCGCCCGTCGAGAAATAACACTGGGTTATCCTACACTAGTACTGGGTCTGGCGCCAATTCCAACACCAACAACTATTTAACTTATCAAACACAGCATTATGGCAGCTCCAACGCTTCAAATTCCGCTTCTCCCTCTGCCTCTTCAGAATCTCACCATCTCTCGTCCATCGGCACATCACCAGAACCCAGCGTGAACTCACCACCTACTGGGAAGCTGACGGAATCCAGTTTGAACACAATTAATGAACTAAACGCAAGCCACGCGGGGGGAGAAGGTGAGAAATCATTCTACGAGAAGCTTGGCCGGGCCTGCGGTTGCGCTGAGAACCCAGTTCCTGCTGCGTTGTCAGATTCTAATCGTCCTCCCAAACTTCCAGATCATAACAACAACATTAGCAATAGCAGTAGCAACAATCACGGCAATATCAACTACCTAGCAGATGGCCTATTAGGGATCGACTGGCTCGCTCAGCAAAACGGCGGCCAATTTGACCCTGTCTTGTTCGGTGACTACCGCGATCCCCAGGACGCTGTTCTCTCACAGGACTTTGGCAATTTCTTCAACGACGCGCTGCCGTTCCCCGAATTTGGAAGCTCTCTACAAACCTTTAATGAGTTGAACAACGGCCATGCTAATACCACCGCTTCAACAACGGCGCCCCCCAAACATGACCTGCTCAGACAAGTAGACAGCATCCTCGAGGGGAACCATGATGAGGAGGTTGTGCCGGCAGAAGACCGCTCGCAAATGCTATCGTGCACCAAGATTTGGTATGTTGTATTTACTCTTTGTTCTCCCCTTCAATTGGCTCCCTCATGATCTAGACTCTCTCTAACACTTTGCAATCTAGGGACCGCCTGCAATCGATGGAGAAGTTCCGCAACGGTGAGATCGACGTTGACAGCCTGTGTAGTGAACTCCGTACGAAAGCGCGCTGTTCTGAGGGTGGTGTTGTGGTTAAGCACGATGATGTGGAAGCCATCATGTCCCGCGCAAAGTAGTGAAGGGGAGGCTGTTTTATAGTATATATCATGTTATACATAATTGTCGTTCATGGAGCTATCAGGTGGTTTTGTTGTTTTGAAAGGAACAAATTTACATGCGGGAAACGAGTCGGGGTGTAGGAAGGGATACTTGCGGCGAATGAATTGATTTGATTTGAGATGAATGGCAACTAGCGAATGGCAAATGGCAAATGGTGAGAAGGTAAAAAGGGAACGAGGAAAGAAATATTGCAGTACCTGTTAACTGACACGAACCAATATTCTTTTATATATACTATTATTGTCCTTCAGTACTGTACATACGAAGTCACCTCTCTTTTCTTTATGTCTTTTTGCCTTTTCCTTTCTGACATATAATATGTCTATGCATATCTACATACTCCTGGCTGGTGATGTTGCTGTTTTTCTTCCTGTGTTCTTAACCCCCCTTCATACAGATTGCGATTCTTTATCTGAGCAACATGTTGTTTTTCTACACTGCAGATAACATTGATCACATTGGGCATATTTCAAAAATACAGTCTTATTGCTATGAGGTCCTGTTCACAAAGGTGTCAAGAAATGAAATTCTCATGAAGATGTTTGTATGAATGCGGCTTAACACTAGCCATCTGGACATGACATGGCATGAATATCCCTCTGTGTACATCTGTAGCTTACCTGTCCTGCTTGTATGCGCCAGTGCAGCACTTCACATACTGTGTTTCTCAACTGTAGCTACCTTACTACTAACTCCACACGCTAGTATCAGGTAACTAGTCCATCCCATGATTCCCATCCCATTCAATGCTGTGGTGCATGTACTCCGTAGAGATCTGGGAAAGGGGAACAGGAAGCGGCTGACATAGCTCTCCCACGTGACCAGGCGCCTTCCCCGATCCGAAAACGCATCCCAACCTTCGCCATATCAACTTGAGGCTCCCTTTTTTCTTCTGCTCTGCTTCGACTCAACCTTACGACATACGAGCTCGTTTCTCCACTCCCCTCTCTCTCCCTGCTTCTTCTTCGCTCCGTCTTGTCCGTGAAGCCTCTTTGTCTTCCGAATCGTCTAACGTATTGTCCTCCCCCAAAATACGCCCTACCCTCTAATATTTCCCTGTTGTTGTTGTCTTCTTCTCTCTTCAACCTCCCTCGTCGCGCAAACCAACCTACCTGTCTTTCTGCTTCAAAAGACTTCCCTCTTACACGATACAATACCTTGTTGTCTCGCCAGCAGAGTGCAGCACCGTCCTGTTTTATAGACGCCCGCCCCAAGGAAACCTAACTGAAATTCCCCCCCCAAAACAAACTTTCGGCGCTCCATCCCGAGCTTTCATCGATCTTGGCATATTCTCTTTCTCGTCTTGCTTTTGCTCTAGCATTTTCTTCCACCTTTTCTTTTCTTTTCATTCTTGCTTTCGTTCTCATTATAAACTGTTAAGCTGTCAATCTATCCTTTCCAAGGAGTGACTGACGTGAAATAAACATACCAATCAACTTCTGAAAGCAAACAACAAACCCAAAATACACAGAAAAGCGTGGAATTAAGGAAAACGAAAAGGACGTACAAAGCAGCTCTCCCCTCCTCCCTTCCATTTGAACTATTAACATCCACCCACCTATCTATCTTTCCCTGTCCATCTATCCATATGGCTTCAGTAAGTTTTCACCCCAAAACTCAGATTGGCGTGCCTAAACGAAACCGCCGCCCTGTGATCCCTCACTTCGAACACAACCTTAATAACTCTCCTCTCTCCCCTTCAGCACTTTGATTTTGCGAAATGATGTTTTCCAAGAGACCTTCGCTAACTTTGGGCGAAATGCGCAAAAAAATAATAGCCCCGTCCCGCCCACACCTTCAACAACCCGGGCTATAATCTCCCTAACGGTTCGACGAGCGGCCCCACCCCCGGAGCTACTGCGCTGCTCCCCAATAATGGCAGAGTGATTCAGACTGGTGGTGTGCGGGTGCTTTGCGTTGCAGATGTGCGAGGTAAGCAAATTATTCATCGAGATGACCCTTTATACAATTTCTAGTCCTTGTTACATAGATGAAATTTTTCGCTGGGTTGTGCGGGAAGACAGCGTTATTGTCATTTTTAGTACTGTTGCCATTTGCTATGTGTTGATGAACCTGGTTGACAAACTGCTTTCAAACGATGATTAGGGAACTTGAAATCACTCAATGAACTCGCCAAGCAAGCTCGCGCCGACCATATTATCCATACCGGCGACTTTGGATTTTATGATGATAGCTCTCTTGAGAGGATTGCAGAAAAGTACATTTCTCTCTCTTTTACCGGGGTGTACCCTCGATGAAGATTTTCTAACTAACCAATGTGACTTGCGCACCTATTATAGGACCTTGAGACACGTTGTTCAGTACTCTCCCCTCCTTCCAGAGTCCAACAAGAAAAGCATCGCCTCTGTTCCGCTCCAGCAATCCATTAAACAGCGATTCAGCCCCGAGCAACTCCCTCTCTCCGAGCTTCCTCTATTGCTCAACAAGCAGTTGACACTCGATGTTCCCGTATATACTGTTTGGGGCGCCTGCGAAGATGTAAGGGTACTAGAGAAGTTTAGGTCTGGTGAATATAAAGTCGACAAGCTACACATCATCGATGAAGCCAGCTCGAGACTATTGGATATCGGCGGAGTGAAACTGCGCCTGCTTGGTCTGGGAGGTGCAGTGGTTATGCATAAACTGTTCGATAATGGAGAAGGAAAGACAACAATTGCAGGCGGGCAAGGAACTATGTGGACAACGCTCTTACAGATGGGCGAATTGGTTGATACTGCAAACCGCGTTTATGATCCGTCTGAGACACGTCTTTTCGTCACGCATGCCTCACCAGCTCGCGAGGGCATGTTGAATCAACTCTCTGTCACACTGAAGGCTGATTTCTCCATATCGGCGGGATTGCATTTCAGATATGGCAGTTCATACAATGAATTTAGCGTCAATCCTACTCTTGACCATTACCGTGGCAAACTGGCGGCTTCGAAGGCCTCATTTAACGATGTGTGGGACACAGTGAAAGGGGAGGTCGAGACTGCCATCAATGCCAACGAGGCCCAAAGAACTCTACTGGACAATGCACTAAATATAGTTGAGAAGATGCCAACCATCGCGAATGGCGGAAACCCCTTCGGAGGCCCTGTCGCAGCGAGCAATGCAGGCGGACAGGTTGACGAAAGCGCGTTCAAAAACATGTGGAACTTCAACCTGGCGGATGCTGCTTTCGGATATCTAGTTCTGGAAATCGATGGTGGCCGTATTGGAACGGAAATGCGCGCTCAGGGCTTCAACTTTTCACATCGTACCGGCAAGCAACCAACCAGTGTGCCGCCAATAGCCCAACAGCCATCCACCATGGCGCCTCTTCCCGGCGCGCCGGGCGGCACCGGTGCTGCGCCCCCTGGAGCTCCTGGACAACCAAGATCTACTGGCGGTGCTCCTCAATACGGACAGGCTCCAGTACCGAACCGTGCGTCCGGACCGACCTATCAACAGGCAGCCCAGGCTCCCGCTACACAAAAACCCGCGGCCCCCATTCCTCCGAAAACAACCGCATCACCAGCTCCCGTAATTCCGAACAACAAAGTCAATAAGCCTACCACCCCTCAACCCGCTGCCGGAGCGAATGCCAATGTTCCCGCAGCTTCGACAGATAAAGCCAACGAGTCAAACGGCACGGCACATGGTGCCGGAGACAGGACGGATTCCAGGAATGATTCAAGGACAGGACCCCCTCAAGAACGCAAACCAAGCAGCGGCCTCTTTATCTCAAACGTGGACTCCGAACAAGCGATCCGCGATCTATTCCCCGAAGAAGACAAAGCAAAGATCCTCAAGGTAGAAAAATGGGGCAAATTTAACCATGTGGTGACTTTCTCCACTCCCGAGGAAGCCAAAGGTGCCTTGGAACGGCAGCCACCTGAACATAAAAAACCAAGCCCTCCAGGACCAAATCGGAAACCAAACGTGAAGATGTTTGAGGATCGCGGGAGCCGAAGGGATATGAATCGCGGGGATGGCAACGCTGGAACGTGGCAAGCTAGTAATCGCGGTGGTGCTGGGGGTGCACCTGGCGCGAATGTTGGTCAACGGAGTGGGTATCAGAGTGGTAGTGCTTCGAGCGATATGGAGATGGGACGTGGACGGGGTGGGTTCGGTGGTCGGGGGAGAGGTGGAAGAGGTAGTGACAGAGGTGGACGTGGCGGTGAGAGAGGTGGAAGGGGTGGTCGTGGTGGATATGGAGGTTCTGGGGATCGCGAGCGCGGTGGTGCTGGAAAGGGTGGTGCAGGGGGAACGGAATCGCCCGCTCCTGCTACCTCAACGCCTGCGTCTGCACCCGCTGGGGAGGCGAAAGGGGGAGATTAAATGATGAGCGATTTGATGTTACCTGACGAGATGGATATGGTTGAGTTTGGGTTGTTTGCTATTCTATTTTATTCGTTTTCATGTTCGTTTGGTTTCTTTTCACCTTTTTCCCGTTCTTACGTGATGCTGTGTAAACTGTTCCCCTTTTCTAATTTTCTATTTCTTCAACTTGTGTTCCTTTGTTTATTTATTTTTTTCTTGTCAGTTTTCAATTGTTTTCAGCTTCAGTTTCTCCCCTTTGTTCTCCTTACTCCCCTCCCCCCCCCCCTTCCCTTTTTGTTCTCTCTTCATTAAAGATTCATATCATACATACCACTGTGCCCGCAGCTACAACTACCTCAATACCTACCAACGTACCTAACTCTCCGCGTATTCAGCTCACCTATCATATTCTTCTATCTACCTCACGCTAACTAACGAGGCACCTGATTCAACAGATTTCTGATTTCTGCTTACCTTTTCTTTCTTTTCTTTTGTTTTCTTTTGCAAGTGGGCAAAAAGCAAGTAAAGTTGTGGGGAAAGGAATAAACTATAATGTTTTATTTTTTATGGCCGCGCCCTCCGTTCCTCGTCAAAGCGCTAGGAGTGAGATTTGAATGGTAAAGATCCAAGGTAGGTTTGTATGTAGATATGAATGGATTGTCCAGCAGCATGTAGAGAAGGGTATTGATTGGCAGTGGAAAAATAGGAAGAACAAGTTCTATATATGCGTGCGTCTGTTTTATCATGATTCTGTGATTTTCCTCTAAAAATAATATTTATCTCTTTGGGTGGTTCTATGGAATAAACAGTGCTGAATATCATTGATACCTAGGAACCTGCTAGATGCAAGTAAGAATAGGACATGTCTAAGGGAGAGCATGCTAACATTTAAAAGGGGAGGGGGAGAAAAAGAAAAATTCAAAATTCAAAATTGAAAATGCCCTGCACTCTTTGTTTCCTCCATTTTTTTGGGAACAGGCCATGCCCCGCCCGTCGCTGATATTTTTTGGTTTTCGCAAACAGATACATGTTCATTGATACATTTTTGCAGTGTCTGAGCTCATGATGAGTATGGCCGCCGTGCAGATATGATGGAATACCCCCCGACCAAGGTGGATTTGGGCCCCTCTCTTTCCTGAAGTTGTGTGCCCTAGCATTGCGGCAGCGCTCCATTTAACTAGGATTGCAGTTTTGTCGTACGGCTAAATGGAGAGAAGGAAAAAAGGAGGTAGTTGTCAGCATAGAAAACTGATAAGAGAAAAAAGAGAAAATAATGCTGATAAAACAGTTGAACAACGAAACTCACCATTGGCATAAAAGGTATAACTATCGGCGTTCCGAATCGACATATCAGCATTCAACGCCATCGACGCATCTTCACCGTAGGCAAGATCCGTCGTGGCGGGATAGTAAACGGCATCGATGTGCGATAACTCATGGATGACAGTCAGCGCCTGGTCGCCCGCATCGCACGCCTGCGACACCGCTGTTACCGAATAGTAGATTGGACAGTTGACAACGACATTCGATCCTAAAAGCGCATAGGCGACCGTGCCCGGGCGGCAGACATCCATCTCATCTTCGCACTGGTACTTGACTACCCCGCCCTCAGCGCTGCAGGCTTCGTTAGAGATGGCGTGGAAGCGGTCGGAAACTTGCTGGCGGATGGAGGGGTCTGTTGTGCGAAAGTATTGCTCGAACACTCGCACGTCGCCGGATAGAGCCGCGTTGGAAGCTTCTCCGGCGATGCTGGAGTCTCGTTTCAGTGCGCTGGCGATGACGGCCTTTTGATGGTCGGTACAGTTGCCGTTGTTGAAATCGGCGCGCTGGGCGAGATGGTCATGTATTTTGGCGCGGGTGGAGAGGACGCCTGATACCTGTTTGCCGTCTACTTCTATTTTAAGTTCGTTGGATTCGTACGGGATGACACTAGCAATGCTGAATGATTTGGGGTCGATAATTGGGAAGACACCGTCGGCGGAGACAATGTAGGTACCACTTTCTGAGAGATTGAGGGTTTCCGCGAGGTCGAATTCTTTGTCGATAGTTTGGCCGGGGCCAATAGGTTGGAGGTTGTCTTTGGCTAGGTCAGAGGGACTGCGGCGTAAGTGAACGCCTTTAAAGGGCACTTCTTTTCGGGAGCCTGCAACGCATTTGATGTAAGAATATGGTTTCATGATGTTGAAAGAAGAAAATGATATAGCGTACCCTCTTTGTAGACAGTGAACTTTTTCGTGGGAGATGCGTCAAAGAGTGTGTTCGCTCTAAGAATGGAAATTTCTGAGGAGCCAGTGTTCGTCACAGAAACTTGGACTTTGGTGTTTCCCGTTGAGGCGAGGCTGACATCGAGGCCCTCAGAGCGACGTCCGATGGAGATAATGGCGCTAGAGTATACGGGAGCGAGCAGTCCGGCTGCCGTCAATAGAACTGAGGATAACTGCATAGTAAGGAATGGAATATCCGTACAGAAATTAAAGAAGGGTAGGAGAACAAAGGCCAATGAGCAAGAATATAGAATGCAAACAAAAAGAAGGATGTAAGAAAGGAATGTAATGAGGGGAAAGGAACGAAGAGGAAAGAACCCAAGTTGTGAGCTATATGCCCATTAATATAATTCACTCAAATCCTTCTGGAAGGAGAACCACTGAGCAGGTAAACTCCTGCCACCACCCTCCATGAGTGGAGCTGCGCACCACACTAATCGCCCGAAGTATAAGAATGTAACTTAGTGGATTAAACCTTATTAGCTGGTGGATCCTAGATCGAGATTCGAAAGCGCCCAGCGTTGAAATTTTGGAAGCATTAAGCTCTTTTTATAGGCCCCTCGCATAGGGGGACCAAGCTCAAACTTGCCCTGCCGAAAAAGACCATATCTTTTTCGGCAACATTGTTTCCCAACCATCACCCGGACCACCTCGCAGTAATCGAATGTCCGAAAACACAGTGAATGGATATCCATTATTGGCGTTTTAAGAGGCCCCGGAGTAGTAAAACATTAGGCACAGTAGAACACGCAAGTCCCACTATACCGAGTAGACTGGAGAGTAGCAGAATAGGTGGGGAGGGGATTCCACTTGCTTTTTTGATGTTTCAAGAGGGCGGTACAACTTTAAATGGACCACATGGCTCAAATTCCAGATTTTGGAAGTATCGATTTGTCGCGATCATCACAACTTATCATGTAGCTGTCCATTGGTTCTTGGATGTTGTTGCTTAGAGCGCTAGCACTCTTGCAATGGACTGGGTGTTTGGTCGACCCAAATATATTCAACGATTATAGCAATCGAAAGGAAGGGCCTATGGATCTTGCATGTCTTGTTCGACAATTTCAAACCTCGAATGGTGGTAATGCCTGCAAGTTGAAACTAGGAACAAGTAGTTTAGATCTGGATCCACGTTTCGACGGTGGGTGAGAGAATAAAAGGGGGCAAATCGGGCTGAAGGTCTTCATTTCCGCTTTCCCTTACTTATAAAGAAGAAAGCGTAGCCACTAACATTCATGGGGAGGTGCTGGAATGAATTGCCCTATATCATCGCAGTCAGTCAGTCAGTCAGTCAGTCGTGGACATATCGGCGGGCTGCCGATTGGCATCACGCCGTGGCATCAGCCGGAACTCCGAGCCATATTGCCGCAAACGCGTACTAATATCTAGGTAACAGATGACTGTAGTTCAAACGTTCTGATCAGGTTCGGATTTTCGTCATTTCAACTCTTCCGATATCTATGTTTCGCCTCCCGTTTGACGCCGGATTTAGACCTTGGTGATCCGAATATATTCATCGTACGGAGTACATGTCTACCCTTGTTGTCAACAGGGTAGAGTTCCCGGGATAAAGAATGCATCGTGGATACCGGAAATCCGAGGACCTGATCGCCACAACGAGTGCTGGACAAATTTTGCTGTAAAACTGGCTGTTAAGCCTTAGGTGGTTTCCATTTTGACATGGTCAATGCCCCATTTAGGTCCTATACTTCTCAAAACAAAACATGACAAGACATTTAAAACGCACCGCGAATTCAATTGTGAAATATGAGGGTTGACTCGAGTATCCCCGCGCAAATGTACCACACTCCCCCATTGGCGATTGGAGTTTGATCGGAAAACCCTAATTAAGCGCGATGCCTAAGTGCTGAGTTAACCTTTATAGACGTGCCATTAAAGGAAGGGCGACGTTGTAATATAAACCCTTATCAACACCGCCTACATAAAAATGGCGAAGGCTCCTGGGCGATTGATAGATGTCGCTCGAGCAGTTGCTGAACATCGCTGAAGTTTGCCTCAACTCTCAAACAAAATCAGCATTTAGGGAGTCACCGACACAACCTTATTTTGAAAACTAATGGACGTGTCGCTAACACTGATAATTCATGGCCTCAAAGTAAGGCAGATGAGAGATAAAGGGTCAGTATTAATTTACCTTGGAGATTCTGGCCCAACAACCCAACCGTGGATATTATAACCTCATGCTGTTTAACGCATATGGTTAGAGCTGCCGTAGCTTGTTTGAAGCTCAGAAATCCATATTCCACTGCTGAAATTTCGCAGACGTAAGCATTGGCGTTGACTTCCCAGCATTCCTTGCTGGGACCGTCGAGCTTTGCTGCTGAATTTGCCCCCCCCTCCCACCCCTTCCAACCCCTAGCTGCTGCCGTTAAGAAACATCCTGTCTTATTTGATTTCCTATTATGTTTTTGTGCAACAGGGAAGCTCGGTATGATTTCTTTTCGGGGCGGCAAGAGCATAAAGGGCATTCCCGAAAGGCATTTTCACCGTTTCTCGCTCAGCCTGCGGGGAAGTAGAATTCTTCCACCCTACAGCTAGAGCGTCTAGAGGATCTTGGGCTTCTAGCGATGTTCTTGCTAAGAGGAGCACCAGAAATGTCCACCTCGGCATTGTAACTAACCCCAGATGCCGCGGATGTATTTCAACTTCGGCGTGCCGATTCGCCCAAGCATCTAGCCCACTTGCAAGAAATGGCCAACGAAAAAGTGAAGAAAACGGGTTGAATTCCTCGTAAACACGGGCCTAGACCGACCGACCTAATGCTTTGAGGAGTAGCACATTTATGACGTAGGATGAGTCTGGCAGGGAACCCCAAGCCTTTTATTGTTTCTTCCTGGCGCGAAGAGCATGCACCCTGTTTTCTCGTTCCTGGAATACCCCGATAACCAGACAATTGGCATGGATGCTGAATTGATGCGTCGTCGTTGCCAAGCCTCGGCTCACTTAGTCATCGATGTCACAGGCTGACATAAGCACGCGTCCAGCCATTCTCCCGTCACCACATCATCCAACCACTCATCAGTACCAACCCATTCATTACCCTGCTGTGTGATTCGACCTCTTTGGCAACTAATCTTGCTTTCTTAGCGGAATCTCGTTTCTGTCTGTATCACCATTGACCGTTCGTTTCTTCAGTTCCGTTTTGAATGCTGCCGCAAGTTTGGCGGCCTCAACGCATCCAGGAGTTAATCAAAATCTCTCACGCTCTTAAGAGATCCTGATCGCTCGGTCGTCACCGCTCCAAAACCCTCTTCTGCAGCTTCTCAAATATCGATTGAAATATATTGGTTATCCCTTAATGGTTTGACCCTCTTGTAGAGGAAGTCGACTACAAGGGGAAGATAGTGGTAGTGCTGGAATCTACGAATGCTCCCCGTTGACTTCTGCCTGAAGATAACATCCAGCCATGCGCCTCGGATGTTTGTCGCTCCTGGGGGTACTAGTAGTTGCTCAGAGCAACTCCGTCTTTGCCCAAGGAGAGACAAAGATTCATGAGGAGGGTCGCTGTGCGATTCGTGGCCACTGCGGGAAGAAGTCGTTCTTCGGTGGAGAGTTACCTTGCCCCGATAATGGACTTGCGAAAGCGCCGGCGGCGGAAACCCGGAGGAAACTGGTAGCGCTGTGTGGAGATAAATGGAAAACTGGAAATGTTTGTTGCGAGGACACTCAGGTAAGACTCCGCTTCGGAGAAGTTGCGGATCCAAGATCCACTCTGACCAACTGGTGGCACTTGAGCTTACACCTGCTTGTTTTGCTATTCCAATAGATTGATGCTTTATCCTCGAATCTGAAGATGGCCGAAGGTATAATTGCGTCATGTCCGGCATGCAAAGAGAACTTTTTCAACCTCTTTTGCTCCTTCACCTGCTCCCCGGACCAGTCTCTGTTTATTAACGTTACACAAACCGACAAGGTCAAAGGGAAGAAAGTGGTGACTGAGCTGGATAACTTGTGGTCGGAGGTGTACCAGGTTGGATTCTATGGCAGCTGCAAGGATGTGAAAAACGGTGCTTCGGGCGGCAAGGCGATGGACTTCATCGGCGGGGGTGCAAAGAATTATTCCCGATTCTTGAAATTTTTGGGCGACAAGAAGCTGTTGGGTAGCCCCTTTCAAATCAATTTTGTCACAGAACCAAACGGACCTGGGGATGTGGGCATGCGACCTTTACCGGAGATTCCAAAATCCTGCAGTGATTCAGACCAGAAGTATCGGTGTTCATGTGTCGACTGCCCGGCTGTTTGTCCCCGACTACCAGCGTTAGAAGAGGAGAGCTATTGCCACGTTGGGCATCTCCCGTGTTTATCATTCTCCGTCATAATCATATATTCGGTCTTTTTGTTGCTCTTGGTCGCTGGTACTCTTGGCCACTTTGTCTTTCAGAGACGTCAACAACGGAAACTGGAACGGGCTCGACTCCTACAGGATACAAGCCCAAGCGACGATGAAGATGAAGGCGATCTTATCGACGATGCCGGTATACTCGATCGTCCCCAAACAAGCTACAAGTTAAATTCCGTGTTCGATGCGATATTTAATCGTCTCGGTGGTGCTTGTGCTCGTTTCCCGGCGTTAACCATAACGACAAGTATAATATTTTGTGGCGTGCTAAGCCTGGGTTGGCTACGTTTCGCCGTCGAAACAGACCCTGTCAGACTCTGGGTTAGCCCAAGCTCAGCTGCTGCACAGGAGAAAGCATTTTTCGACGAGAACTTCGGGCCTTTCTATAGAGCAGAACAAGCGTTCCTCGTCAACGACACCCATCCAAACGGACCGGGTCCTGTTTTAAGTTATGAAACACTCAGTTGGTGGTTCGACGTGGAGAGTCGAGTTCGTCGCATGATTTCGCTGGACAAAGGGCTTTCTTTGGACGATATTTGTTTTAACCCGACGGGAAAGGCTTGCGTTGTCCAATCATTAACAGGATATTTCGGAGGTTCTTTCTCCAATGTCGACCCTAACACTTGGGAAGATCACTTGAGGCATTGTACCGAGTCCCCCGGTGCTGTAGACTGCCTTCCCGACTTCCAGCAGCCCCTAAAACCAGAAATGATTCTAGGTGGTTACGGGCGGCCTGGAAATGTATTGAATGCATCCGCACTAGTCGTCACATGGGTGGTTAACAACCATGCCCCTGGCTCCAAAGCGGAGGCTGGCGCAATTGATTGGGAAGATAGCTTAAAAAGAGTGCTCGAAGTGGTTCAAGAAGAGGCAACTGAACACGGCCTACGCGTTTCTTTTAACACCGAAATTAGCCTTGAACAAGAGTTGAATAAGTCTACGAACACGGATGCGAAAATCGTGGTTATTAGCTACATAATTATGTTCATCTACGCTTCGTTAGCCCTTGGCTCTACAACTTTGACGTGGAAAAGCATCATCAGAAATCCGGCCAATAGTCTCGTGCAGTCGAAGTTTACTCTCGGTATCGTCGGTATCTTGATCGTTCTGATGTCTGTGTCAGCTTCAGTCGGGCTCTTCTCAGCAGCCAGGATCAAAGTGACGTTAATTATCGCCGAGGTGATCCCATTCCTAGTTCTAGCAATCGGCGTTGATAACATTTTCCTTATCGTTCACGAATTTGAGCGAGTAAACGGAAGCCACCCAGACGAGGAAATCGATGAGCGCATCGCTCGAGCGTTGGGAAGAATGGGACCTAGTATTCTCCTCTCTGCAACCACAGAAACCATTGCTTTTGCGATGGGTGCGTTTGTAGGGATGCCTGCTGTCAAGAATTTCGCAGCCTATGCTGCCGGTGCGGTCTTTATCAATGCCCTATTGCAAGTAACGATGTTTGTATCCGTGCTGGCATTGAACCAGAGACGTGTTGAGAGCCTACGTGCAGATTGTTTGCCTTGCCTTACTGTCCGAAAAGCAAATTCGTCTTCTATCCCTGGCGGTCAGCCGTATGACCACGCGGAGGAAGGAGCTCTGCAACGATTTATTCGAAAGATTTATGCTACTCGTCTTCTTCAGAAGCAGACTAAAGTTTTAGTTATGGTTGTTTTCCTCGGAATATTCACAGCCGGCCTTGCGCTCCTACCAACTGTAGCTCTTGGGCTGGACCAACGTATCGCCATCCCCAATGATTCATACCTGATTGATTTCTTTAATGATCTGTATGATTACTTTGGAACTGGGCCCCCTGTTTACTTCGTAACGCGAGATGTGAATGTTACCGCCAGACACCATCAGAAACAACTTTGTGGAAGATTTTCAACATGTGACGGGTTTTCACTGGGCTTTGTTCTTGAACAGGAATCAAAGCGTCCCAATGTTTCTTATATCTCTGGATCGGCCGCCAGTTGGGTCGATGACTTCTTCTACTGGCTGAACCCTCACCAAGACTGCTGCAAAGAGGACGGAAAAATTTGCTTCGAGGGTAGAGATCCGCCATGGAATATTTCGTTACATGGCATGCCAGAAGGGTCTGAGTTCATTCATTACGCGGAGAAATGGCTAAAGTCACCTACGGACGAGTCATGCCCTCTAGGTGGTTTAGCTCCCTATAGCAATGCCTTAGTTCTCGACTCAAAGCATGTTACGACTAATGCAAGCCATTTCCGCACGAGTCACACACCACTACGCAGCCAAAAGGACTTCATCAAGGCCTATGAATCCGCTCGTCGTATTGCGGACGACATCTCACAAAAGCACGATATCGATGTCTTCCCTTACTCCAAATTCTACATATTTTTCGACCAGTACGCTTCTATTGTCCGCCTCACTGGAACCTTGCTTGGATCCGCAACCGCGATAATCTTTGTTGTCACTTCAGTCCTCTTAGGCTCTATAGCTACAGGAGCAGTGGTTACTGCCACAGTGATTATGACTGTTGTTGATATTATCGGAGCTATGGCTATTGCTAATGTCTCGTTAAATGCTGTCTCGCTAGTTAACTTGATTATCTGCGTCGGTATCGGGTTCGAATTCTGTGCACATGTTGCACGCGCTTTCATGTTCCCTTCCAGCCCACTATTGGAGCAAGCTCGAGATAAATTCCGATATCGTACTGCTCGCGCGTGGGTGGCATTAGTCAATGTTGGCAGCAGTGTCTTCACCGGTATCACGGTTACCAAACTTCTAGGTGTCTGTGTACTCGCATTCACAAGGAGCAAGATATTCGAGATCTACTATTTCCGGATATGGCTGGCACTGGTAATATTCGCTGCGTCTCATGCGCTGATATTCTTGCCAGTTGCTTTGAGCTTCTTTGGTGGTGACGGTGAGTTTCCTCCTTCCATTAATCTGTAGACCCTTTGTAATTTATAATGCCCGGAGAACTGATGCAGTTTATATTCTACTCATAGGATATTGTGACCCTCAGACAGACGGCGGTCTGGAAGGGGACCTTGCTGCCCGAAGATATCGCTCCCTGCTACCCGATGACTATGATTCGGAGGACGACTCTTGAATTCAATACCGCGGTCTATCCGTGAAAACTATTTTGGCCATGTTAATTCGCTTTATGACAATAATATTTTTTTTCCCCTGCTTAGCCGTTCGCAAAATCCTTTGATTCGATCGCTTTTGAGGACATATTCGTAACCCAAATCGAACATTATAGACCTAAAGGAGTATCGCAAGCGTGGTGGAGTCTGGATAATGGAAGAACAATGGAGGAACAACGATCATATGCCTGCTTCCTGGTGTATGTACTATGTATACGTATACAGGGCAATGTCTCATTTTTTCACCCGCATGCTAGGACGACGACAGTCAAGTCACCTTTGATTTTTGGATATTGGCGTACATAGCCGGATTATGCCTTCCTTCCCCCCCCCCCCCCCCTTTTTTTTTTTTTTTTCTTTCTTCAGAAAAAAAAAAAATTAGATCATCAGCTATGGGTGGATTATAGCTGTCCATGATTATGACAGATAATGAAATATTCCATCTCGAATTAACAAATTAAACAATATCCGTCGGGGTCAATAAATGATGGTTGTTTGCTGCCTCATGTTGATGTAAACAGTGCAAACAACGGTGCTACCAAGCCCACTAAAGCAGACTAGCGCCGCCATAGAAAAAAAATAATCCCACTTCACATCTCAATTTTCCTCCTGCTCCCCTCTGTTCTCTACGATTCTCTCTCTTCATCACCTTTCTCCTCTTTCCCTAGTTTTTTTAAATCCTTGGGAACCCTTTTCAATAGGAGTAGTTGAGAGGACCTATACCAGCCGCCTGCCTTTTTCATAGACCTACACCCTATCTTTGCGATCGAGAAGCGTGCATTACAACAGTCGCCCATCATGGACCAGCAGCGGTTCTTGCAGCAGCTGCAAATCGTCCTTGATCGTGAGTTCTTGAGCCTGCTATATGCATATTATTGGAGAATGTTGTAGTACGAACGAATTTCTCTGACTTGCGGCCTTATTGATATTGTATAGCGACCAAGGGCAGCGTCAAAGAAGCTACTGGCACACTTAAAAAGGAATTCTATACCCACCCAGAATCGCTCCTTTTCCTCATTCAGGTCGCCACTTCCCATGATGACCAGAATTTGAGACAGCTTGCTGCTGTCGAATCTCGAACGCTCGTGTACAAGCATTGGCTCAAAATCGCTGCGGAGCAGAAACCACAGGTTAGAGAACAGCTACTCCGTGCTGCCTTAGGAGAAGGTACCTCCTTGGTCCGCCATTCTTGTGCGCGTATCATTTCCGCTATTGCGAAGATTGATATCGAGGACGGGCAATGGGCAGATCTCCCTGGATTCCTGCTCCAGGCTGCAGCCAGCCCCAAAGCCGACGAGCGGGCTACTGGTATCTACATCCTATTTACCATCCTCGAAACGCTAGGTGAGGGTTTCCAGGAGAAGTTTAGCGACCTCTTTGCGTTATTTGAGAAGACTATTCGTGATCCTGAGAGTGCTGAGGTCCGCATCAATACCCTGCTTGCATTGAGCAAGCTGGCCATACATCTCGACTCCGAAGAGGATGAGGCACCAGTTAAGGCTTTCCAGAATATTTTCCCCGCCATGGTCGCCGTGCTGAAAGACTCGATTGACCGGAGCGACGAGGATCGGATCCTGCAGGCATTTGAGGTTTTCCAAACCCTCCTTGCCTGCGACCCACAATTGATGAACCCCCACCTCAGGGATCTTGTGCTATTCATGAACCAGCTTGCAGCAAACACCGAGCTGGATGAGGACACGAGAACTCAAGCCATTAGTTTCCTCATGCAAGCGACTAGGTATAGAAAGCTGCGAATCCAAGGCATGCAGATCGGTAGCCAGATTACCCTTACCTGCCTTCAAATCGCTACCGAGCTGGGTGACACTGCCGTTGACGATGATGATATTACACCAGCAAGATCGGCGCTTGGTCTCTTGGACATGCTTGCACAAAGCCTTCCACCTAGCCAGATTGTCGTCCCTCTCCTCAACGCTTTGGGACAATACTTCAACAATAAGGATCCCGACTATCGACGCGCTGGTATCATGGCTCTTGGTATGTGTGTCGAGGGTGCTCCTGATTTCATTAGCACTCAGATGAAGGAAATTTTCCCTGTCGTGTTCCAACTACTTAGCGACCCCGAATCCAAGGTTCGCCAAGCAACATTGCATGGCGTTGCGCGAATTGCCGAATCTCTTGCGGAGGACATCGGCCAACATCATCAGCAGATGATGCCTCTCCTCCTCACGAATCTCCGAAGCACAATGCAGGAGTGGAAGGGCGAAGAGAGTGGCCCAGCCATCGACAATATGAAAGCTGCAATCAGCGCATTGGATGCCGTGGTTGACGCGTTGGGCGAGAGTGATGTGATCTTGTACCAAGGAGAGGTGGTGCCAATTCTCCACGAGTTGATCAAACATCCTGACTTCAAGGTGAAAGCTCTTACAGCTAGCGCGTTGGGATCCATCGCTTCATCTGCTGGCGAAGCTTTCCTCCCCTTCTTCAATGACTCAATGCATCTCATGCAGGACTATGCTACGATGAAGGATAGCGAGGATGAGCTTGAACTCCGCGCGTGTGTCACTGATGCGATGGGAGAAATGTCTGCTTCTGCCGGGCCAGAACACTTCAAGAACTACGTCGAACCCTTGATGCGTGCTAGCGAGGAGGCCCTCCAGCTTGGCCACTCCAGACTAAAGGAAAGTACTTACCTTTTCTGGGGCTCTATGTCCAGGGTTTACGGTGAAGATTTCACTCCCTTCTTGGATGGAATTGTCAAAGGACTCTTCGCATGCCTTGACCAGGAGGAAACTGACCTTGAGGTTGAGCTGGGCGAGGCTGCTAAGGACCTTATTGGCCAGGAAGTTACCATTGCTGGCCGCAAGGTTCGTGTCGCAGGTGGCGATGATGACGACCAGGACGTTTCTACGCTTGATGACTCTAACATCGAAGACGTCGATATTGATGGTGAGGACGACTGGGAAGACCTAACCACGGTGGGGCCCCTCGCCCTTGAGAAGGAGATTGCCGTTGAGGTCATTGGCGATATCATCACCCATGCCAAGAAAGCATATCTCCCCTATTTCGAAAAGACCATCGAACAGATTTTGCCTCTTTGCGAGCATCCCTATGAAGGTATCCGAAGGAGTACTATCAGCACTCTTCACCGCGCGTACGCTGCCCTCTGGCAGGTCTGTGAAGAGTCTGGTCAGATGCAGAAATGGGTGCCTGGCAAGGGAATGGATATGATTGAGCCACCCGCTGAGCTCAAGAAACTCACCGAAATTTTGGTCACCGCCACGATCAAGATGTGGTCAGATGAAGAAGACAGGTACGTTGAGGGCAATCCTTCTTTTCACCTTTACTTCTGTTATTTTCATGTTACTTTAATTGTATTATTCATTGCCAGTATATTTTCTATGATGACACCACTTCGTAATCCCAGCTCACTCATACACACAAAAATGTGTGACTGATGTTAACGCGAAAACTTCCATCGTGAAGCTGAGAAATATCTAACTGAGCATATGTGATTTTTATTTGTTGCATTTTTATCTGTCTCAGGATCCATATTCTGTTATTAACACTCTAACACTGGCTGCCTGTTGTAGAGAGACTGTCGCCGATATTAACCGCAATGTCGCCGAAAATCTCAAATACTGCGGACCATACTTGGTCTCTGACGCTTCCATTCTTGACAACGTCGTGACTATGGTCACTACCATTATCACCAAGCAACACCCCGCTCAACAGGATTACGGTGCTGATGAAGAAGACCGTGCTGCTCTCGAAGAACTGTCCGAGTACGATTGGGTCGTCATCGACACTGCCTTGGACGTTATTTCCGGCCTTGCAATTGCTCTTGGCGGTAATTTTCTTGGTCTATGGCCTCACTTCGAGAAGACCGTCCTCCAGTATGTTGGCAGCAGCGAACCTCTCGAACGATCCACCGCCACCGGTGTTTTGGCTGAAATCATCTTCGGATTGGCCGACGCTATCACACCGCTCACTACCAAATTCCTTGAACTGCTCCTGCGCCGCCTGAGTGATGAGGATTCCCAGACAAAGAGCAATGCTGCCTACGCCATCGGACGCCTTGTCGAACGATCCAACTCTGACCAGGAAATTATCCAGGCCTATCCTACCATCCTAGAGAAATTGGAGCCCTGCTTGCATATCCCCGAGGCCAGACTCCCAGACAACGCTTCTGGCTGTCTGAGCCGGATGATCTTGAAGCATCGCGACAACGTCCCCGTGGCAGATGTCCTTTCCGCTCTAGTCGATCTCCTCCCCCTAAAGAATGATTATGAGGAGAACGATCCTGTTTACCGCATGATTTGCCAACTGTGTATGTTTATCTTCCCTTCCCCTTTTGAAAATGACACATGTTCGCTAACAGAAATTTCAGACAAATGGGAAGACCCAACCGTCCGCAGCCTAACGCCACGTCTAATCCCCATTTTCGAAGCCGTTCTTACTGGCGACTCGGACCAGCTCGACGATGAGCGGCGCGCCGAGCTCATCGAGCTAGTCTCCTGGTTAAACAAAATGCAACCGGGAGTGGCGAGCTGGGTCGGACAACTGGGTCAATAAATTTTTTTGCCCTCTCAGCCTCTCAGCCATTTCCTTTAACGAATTGAAAACGAGGACCAACGATGATATGGCACAAAATAGATTTTTTTTTTTCTTTCTTTCGTTTATTTTCCCTGTTTACGTTTCGAGGATCTATGCATTATGATGTAGAAAACAGAATACCCCCTCCACTGACTGCACGCACACTAGGCGGATGATATGTGAGAATGAGAGTGAGCACTGGCATGGATGGAAATGGCAGGGACTGGGCCGGAGAACATTGGGTAAAAAAGAGTTCTAATACCGACATAGCAAGTGGATGAATGAATGAATGGAAGGAATACAACAATATACCCCCGCAGCCAGGTGTGTGAAGAGACCAGGGAGCAGTTTTATCATGGGGAATAAAAGAATTTTTTTGCAATGCATGATAATTTTAACATGGATTTTGATTCTATTTTGATATCATTTGGTAATGAGTGGCCCTGCGTGTCTTTCATTGCGATGGCTATACTTAGCGTCACTAGTATTCAGCTGGCATAAAATACCAGCGGATCTTTCGGGCAGAGAGTTTCCGTTCATATCAAGTGGAGATGAGCTTGAGAAGAACTGGGATGACATGGATCTGTAGAGGATGTAAGGTTGTGTATTTGAATAGTCCCAGCAGCTGAGCATGAGCAATCCCGTCTTTCCCAATTCATTATTGATTACGATTTAGTATAACTAGTTTACGTTTATATACATACCTCAGCTGTCCCACGTCGGGGTGAGAACCTTATGGAAATAGAAAACTTCTGGAAGCTCCCCTTTACAGCGGCCGTCCAAAAATACCTGCAAATCCTTTGCCATCGCTATACCTCCTGAACCTTCACAACGACTTTTCCCTTCATATGCTTCGACATACTGCGCTCATAAGCCTGCATCCAAGGATGACAATGTCAGCCAAGGCTCCGTGCGAGTTACAATCTAACGTAGACTACTACAACGAAAAATAATAAATAGGAAAACCTATTCAAAATAAAAAGAAGCATAACATACCTTCATCACATCGTCCATCTCCCACACCGAATCCACAATAGCCCTCAACTTCCTCTCCTCCACCATCCGCCGCACCTTCTCAATCCTCATCTTGGATGGGCCTGTCGTCACAAAAGAAAAGCCACCGGGACCTCCACCTAGGAAGCTTGGAAGAACCATGATCCTCAGAAACCAAAGGATGGCGCGGCAGATGTTGATGAAGGTCGTGGGTGGGTAGAGCAGCCCGATATTGAGGTACCTTTGCGGGCGGTCGCGGGTGGGACGGGAAAGGTAGGCGGAACTATGGTCGTAGAGCGACTGGATGCCGATGGTGTCGAGGATGACGTCGAAGTGAGAGGTGGAGTAGTGGGTTGCGAGGTACTTGTGTAGGCTGTCGTGCTTGGTGTAGTCGATGATCTATTCAAGAATGTTAGCTGTGGTGCTTCATCAGACTTTGGGGAATGATACAACTCCATTCGCACCCAATTTTCTTCCTTTTCCCATCATACATACATACCTCATCAGCCCCTAAGCTCTGAACCAGTTCTTCATTACGCCCGGAGCAAGTCGCTACAACCCTCCCCGTTTCTCCCAGAATATCTCTCACAATCTGCACGGTCATCAATCCCGTCCCCGAACTCCCACCATTAATAAGCACTTTATCCCCTTTCCTCACGCCCGCTCTCGTAACAAGGTTCATCGCCGTACATCCTGTGACCGTTATTCCCGCTGCTTCTTCAAGGGACACATTATCCGGCTTCCGAATCAAGTTCTCCGCCGTCGCAACGACATATTCCGCTAGGGTGCCGCGGCTCTTACGGGCCACTTCATGAAGGGGATCATTCATGCCCAGTACTGGGGAGCCAAGAGGGAACTCCTCGCGCAGAGCAGCATCCGCATTAGCGGACAGGGCGACGACGACGCCTGAGAACTCAAATTCAGCGACCCGTGGTGTCGTCTTCTGAAGCGGGATGGTTGGGTAGACGTTCAGGATGAGCCGCATGGTAGGATTTATGGAGGCATGAGAAACCTTTATGAGGAGCTCTGTTGGGGCAAGGGCTGAAGGCGAAGGGGTGGGGTAGGACGTGGATAGCTGGAGGATATCCGGGGGGGAGCCCGCTTTCGTATAAGTCCATGCTTTCATTGTTGGTGGAAGGGAAGGGGAATCGCCCGGAGACATGGTCATGGTGGGTATCTGGATCCCTTTGACTAGCACGCCTATGCTTTGAGAGATCTTGTTTGGAGTTTCTTAGATAACAACAAATGGATTTGGGCCTATGAGGCAGGATTTCTTCGTGGAAGAAATATTTAAAACTGGGAAATTTAAGACACTTGGATATATTTATCCTTCGGCATTATAGATTAGTTCGGGCACATTCATGTTCGGCGTCGTGGCGTTTCAACGCATTGTAACGCCCCGAAAATGGAAGAAAGGACAGGAGAGAAGAGCTCCAAAAAACGGACACTCCCGTAACCATGCGGAGTTAAGAGATTCGAGATATCACAAAGTACCCGCTCTGCTGGCTAAGTAGTACATCATCATCATCATCATCAGCATCTCAGCTCTCTGGCGGTAAAGCCTTGATTGAGAATAATGAATTAGGGTTTCGGTGCCCGAAAAGGGGGGCGAGCCAAGCCTTTTTATAACCCCGAACGTAAATACCTCCGAACCGGGTGATATGGCCTCTTTTGAGCGCTCTTTGTGTCTATCGAGGAGCGGATTTTGGTATTTGCTAGTCGAGGAAACTAGCCTGGTAGTCGGTCTTCACAGCAGAATCTACTTCCTGTGCATGGAACATATATTCTTTTCGAAGTCATAAAAGCACGCCAGAGTGCGTGCTTCCACCCAATTGATAACTACAGGTGTGCAATCACCTGCTTAGCTACCATGCGACAAAGAAGATGACTTAACTCCAATTGGGCTTGAAATCCGTGGGAATAGTTAATAATATCACAGGCAGACGGCAAGACGAGAAGCGCTAGAACATTGAACACATTGCACATTGGCGTCAAACTGAGGCAGCAATATGTCAATTCATCGAGCATTAACTTAGCCTTGGCACATCGCGCCCGCGAAACACTTTCTATTCTAACCTTAGGAAGAGGAGCATTCTGGGGATGTTTCATGATATCTGGTGAAGATACGTTTTTATATCATTCAACTATGCTGCATGTGCAGTTCAACTTTAGAGAAATAATAGTTAGAGTTCTTCCACCACTTTTAATTAATTCCAAGGGCCTCTGACGAAAACATGGCTACTTCACATTCAACAAGTCAAGCATACAGTCACACAATCCGTGAGAAGGCAGTCTTTTATTCTCTTATTCCGATCTTCAGTAATTGTTACTCTGTCTACACGAGCGACAATTTGTTCCGCTATAATCACTATATGGGTAGATACACACAATGCTAACTAGAAATTCTAGCAATTCGGCTTCTCATCGCGTTCACACCCCAAACAAGCAAATCCCTCCACTGGCGCCAGAAATTAGCACTCACCTCTCTACAAGTGCAAAGGGCTACATATTCTACAAAAGAGCTCCTCAGTAACCTTTGAAAGAGCCCAACCGGGACGGCAATTGAGGGCTACTGCACCACACGCGGAATCCCGCATAAAGCAATCATCGTGAACCGTATTTCTACTCACGCCACCGCCAACCTTGCACTTTGTCACCCCCATATCAGCCACCGCAGATGGCCCAACGCTGCTGTATTTCCATGGAGGGAGATATGTCAACCCTCTGAGAGCCGCTGGTCATATGCCCTATACCCTCGGTGCGGTACAGCCTGCAAGGCCAAAGAAATAGTCTTCCTCGAGTACGCTCTAGCGCCGGAATATCAATACCCAGTTCAACTCATCCAAGCCGTGGCTGCCCTTCGTTACCTTCTAAACGATCTGTCATTGAGAGTTGATGATATTATAATCGCTGGCGACAGCGCGGGTGACAATTTGGCAGGGTCTCTACTAGTGCATATCGCCAAAGCATCACTCACCGTACACAGCACCGCTGGATATTGGTGGTGGGCAGCTTAGAGCCGTGCTATTTGTAAGTCCCTGACAGAATGATGACGGTTGATCAAGAAAGTTATGAGACGAATGATGGGAAGGATTACATTGATGGGCCCATAGCCCTCCGGTTTAAGGGGGCGTGGAATCCCACTAGGGGAGATGCATGGGCAGACCTATGCGAAGGGGAAGGCACTGATGAAGTTTGGCGTCAAGTGTTTCCGGCATCAGGGGGCCCGCCGGGTCTAGTCAAGAAGGCGATGGTTACAGCAGGGACGGCCGAAGTTCTTCTGGACAGTTGTCGGAGGTTCGCCAGGGATTGTGTGAAAGCAGAGACTGTTGTTGCTGGCCGCGGATCCGATTGGAGTGCCTTTGACAGGAAGACCTTTGTTTATGCGGAGTGTGAGGGCGAGATCCATGTTCAACCTGCTCTAGATTGCGGTCGGGTATAATAATGGACCCATAATTCAAGCGATCCTCAGGTGGTTGGAGAGCGTATAGTGGTGTCACAGGGCATCCCAATGGTCAGAATGCCAGTTCTATGAAGACGGAATTCTGTAGCGCTGGTCAGGAAATGAGGCGATATGATTCAAAACAGTCTTGAAATGGAACTTTGAATAATGTTTGAACCCACCCACCACATATGTCACTCTTTTCAAGTTGCATTGAATCTATTACTAGTGCACGAAGTTTCAAAATGTAAGTGCAAAGCATTGCGATCACATTAGGAGAACTCGTAATTAGTATATACATACTTCCAGATCATACATATCAAATAGAAATATAAGAGTAATACAGAGGATGTCAATGTTGTTCACTGAGTTCCAATGAGCGCAAGATAGTTTGAAAGTCACATGCTGTGATTACTCTATTTGTCACTATCATAGGCTGCCACCAGTACGACCTAAATATAGTGACATTATAGGGCTGAAACCGATGACGAAACCTATAACGTCCAGTTCAACTCAACCACGCATATCGACATTTTATCAACCGCTATCGAAACAAGAATCAGAGCAAAAGTAGGTACAAATATAGATACAAAGGCATTGGCCATGACTTTCTGGCCATTCTAAATACCACCCGTACTTCATGAATAGCTATATGGACTACACATCGAGAACCCCGGGCTAATAGTCCCTTGACAGGAAAACCTACCAGCCAACAGGCGTCCCTAATCATCTACCTCCACGAAACAGACAAATACTTCCCTTCGCAAAACCCCGAAAATAATGGCCTCAACCATCGTCTTCCAGCCCGTCAACCACACTCTTCCTACATCTTCGGGCTCCTCAGCTTCATCGACCGTTAGCAAGCCCGTCAAGGGAGCAACCAAGCCCTGCTTTGGCTGTGGCTGTGGTGGTGAAGAATGTGATTGTTTCATCTGCGTCGTTATGTGAGGACGTCCTTGGTAATACCGACAATCGATGAACAATAACTGGCGGAAGATTTTCGCTCTATCTGGGTTTGGGAGTCTTCAAAGGTGTTTGGCGGTGGAGATATATACCCCGCTTCTCGCTAAGGAAGAAACTGCTCCCAGTTGGGATGGATGGGTTGATATGTTTAGGAGTTTTCATGTGTCATGTGGGTTATTTTATGGACTTTGCGGCCATTTACTTCGTTTCTTTTTAAGCAAGCGGGCATTTATTTGAATGGAGTGGAGGTTGTGGATGTAGCATGAATCAGGGGATGATTCCATCCTATGATAAGGCACGGTGTATGATATAGGTGTTCAATTTTACCAATTTTATTTGTCCATCTACCCAAAGAAATTTAACAAATTGTATGTACAATACTAAATGTTTGTAAACGCAAGAAACGAGGAGCTAAAGAGCCAAATAAGGTACTTAAAAGACAGAGCAGGAAATGGAAGGGGTAAAAAAGAGAGAGAAAGAAAGAAGGAAAGGAAAGGAAAGATACGCCATCTTGTAGACTCAGCTCAGAGGATAAAAGTAGATATTACACACTACCAGCACCACCAAAGATCACGCATGCCTGTATAGCTCTCCGCCGATCAATCTCTTTCTTCAGCATCAGCAGGCAAGTAGCCACAATTAACGGCTCATCTATTACTTCCGCTGTATCTCGACCAATCACAAGCTCCCCACCATTCCCTGCCGTGCACCGAGACGTGTTAGGTGGCCTCGTCCGTTTATTCCGCAGCAGGTGCGCCACTCGTTTCCGACCGGAAACTTCAAATTTCTCTAGGACAACAAGCACTTCCTTCTTCCCATCCGGCCCACATTCCTTCACATACCTCCATTCAAACACCGACCCATCCGGCAATGAAAAGTTGGTTGCTCGGGACGTCCATTTCCCTTTAATTTTAACCTCTGGAGACGCCTTCTCAGACCCAGTTAGAATATGAATTCTGGGCTCCCTATTGGGGCCGAAGAAGTATTCGGTGAATAGCAGGTCGCCACACTCGGGTGATGAGAGAGTGGAGCTACCTGAGCAGCGGCTCTTGCGTGTGGATACGTATGCGAGTGATGTATCCGGGTTGTGGATGTGAATTTCTAGCTGTGAGGATGGAGTGGGTAGGCGCACAAGCGCCTTTCCACGAGCGTCGATGAATAGAGAGCGACCGGGCGTGAAAGAGGCTGGGATGTTCACAAGCGTCTCTGCAGTTTCAGTTGAGATAACTGAGACCGAGGAGCTCTTGAGAGTTTCCTTCTCTTTTGCTAGAGAGGCGCTGTCTGCGAATGGATTGTCTGATGCTATCATGGTGATATATTGGATATTGGAATATGCACCGTTGTGAGATGAATAGTAGAAGGGTAAACAGATAGCCTAAGGTTTATGAGGACAAAATGAATGTAGAAATCTGTATTATTGTTATTGAGAACTTGAATATAAGAAGTTTAAGAATCATCCTCATCTAGAGGGGCGGGAGCGAGCACTCTTTATCGTCAATGGCAGTGAACCACTCGGAGAAAGTCTCCCCAAAAAAAGCCATACCGCTCGCCAACTGAAAACTTACTCTGCATTACCCTGTAGCCTAGAGAACAATTCATCATCATTCACCATCGCCACTGTTTCGTTGGAGGCGCAGGGCCCTTGAAGGGAAAGTTCGTATCTCGCATCTCTCTCCGGTCTGACCCTGATGCGGCTGAGCAATTACATCAGCGTGTCGATGAATTAAGCTATTTCCTAATGGGGAAAAAACTCGTTTTCGGTCAAACCTTAATTTTGTAATTAAGGTTCAGTCCAGCTTATGTAATGACACTAGCTCCTTTTCTTGGGGAACGCTGAAGCCGAGTTCAGTCGATCACAACACTGACGGCGGGACGACGACATTATTCTTTTGCTCTGTTCTCTAAAATTAGGGGGTTGGCGAAGCCAGCAGATAGCTGTCCAATTCCTTAGAACCCGGACACGACGGTGAGGCTGTGGTCCCATAAACTAGAACCCCTCTCCAGTAAGATTGTTCAGCTCTCTTAGCCATCAACACCTCCATCGTTCAATGTTTAACTTGCTTTCTAGGATCACACGTAGCAGATGGTTGCAAAGTTTGCCATTTTTCTATTACGGCATGCCACTAGTAATCTAATATCTGCCTCCTCTACTAAGTTACTTGCTAGACGACAATTGGCACTATCGTTACAGGTGATATAATAAGCTAGCAGTAGGGCTTGATAACCCATGCTTCAGCAATGTCGTTAATCAAGCGCGCCATTCGGCTTGCATCCGTGCCTGTTATCTTTCTACTAGCTCTGTTTGCCCTACGACCATCTGCGGTAAACACTTACCTTGATGTCGAAGGTTGGCGCTACTATTGGCCCCCAACTCCTTCACTGCAAGTCATTCTCCCATCCTGGGCGCGTGTGGCCGTTTTACTGGGAGGCATAGAGGCACCAGCTGTGAGAATTCGCCAAGGTATAGTAATCGGGAAAGTTCTCAGAGGTGATCTGCCAAAACCCGTTGAGGCGTTTCTTGGAATCCCATATGCGCTGCCACCAACGAACGAACGGAGGTTCAGCCCGCCGGTGCCTGTCAATGCATCGAATAGCACTATCGATGCCACCAGTTATGGCAAAAGGTATTACTTAAATCTCAACTGAATCAATCGTCTCGGAGGTTGAAATCTACAGAACCAAACCCTAATCGAAAGAATAGATGTTCATCACCTCCACTGCTACTCTACGGATGGTCTGAAGATTGTTTGACTGTGAACATATTCCGTCCTCAGATGCAAAATAGGACGAGAAAATTACCAGTAGCAGTATATTTCCATGGTGGAGCATTTAACGGTGGCAGCGGTACGTACATCAGCGCATGCTCTTTAACTGGAAGTGGGAACTCATACCGCAGTAGGGGGAGGCCACAACTCCGCCTCTATGATGGCCTGGTCTGAGAAGCCATACGTTGCCGTAAACTTCAATTATAGGTGAGACTTGATAATCTTCGTTTATGTGGCTGCCCATGCGCTAGCGCTAATATACTTCATAGGCTTGGGGCATTTGGCTTCCTCTCATCAAAAGTTGCTGCCAAGGATGGCGTGCTCAATGTAGGGCTACGTGACCAGATCCTCTTGTTGAAATGGGTACAGGAAAATATTGAAGCTTTCGGGGGCGATCCAAACGACGTCGCCTTATTTGGGCTATCAGCTGGAGCACACTCAGTAAGCATTGCTAGACTTAAAACCTCCATACAAACGTTCCGCTAACATCACCAGATCGGCCATCATGTCATGCATTACAAAGAAGAAGTGCCGTCCCTTTTTCACAGAGTAATTATGGAATCTGGGGCTGCAACCTCTCGCGCCGTTTACCCCTACTCCCACAGTCTCCATGAGCTTCAATTTGAAGAATTCCTCGTTGAAGCCGGGTGCTCTGGTTTGGAAGAGGATGAGGTCATGCTATGCCTGCGAAGCAAATCGGCATTAACCATTGCTTGGGCCTCGTCCAAGATCTTCTCCCGATACGAACCCTCAGATCGATGGGCATTCCAACCAGTCATCGATGGCGATATCATCAAACAAGCTCCTGTCCAAGCTTGGAAATCCGGTAACTGGAACAAAGTGCCAATCCTCACCGGTTTCAACACGAATGAAGGCACCTCCTTTGTTCCCTCAGAGATATCCAAGTCAGAAGAATTCATAAACTTCTTTCGCCTGCTCATTCCCGCTATGCCCGAAAAAGACCTCAACAAGCTTGACCAGTTATATCCAGACCCGCTCAAGTACCCATCTTCTCCCTACGTGGAGACACGAAATATAAGAGTTGGCGCCCAGTTCAAGCGTGTTGAAGCCGCTTACGGTCAATTCGCCTATATATGTCCTGTTCGACAAACAGTCCACCTTGCCTCGGGAGCACAGCAAGCACCAGTATTTTTGTACCACTGGGCTCTGAATAAGACCGTGAAGGGCGGAGCAAACCACGGAGACCAAGGTGAGTACGAAACATATAACCGTGGCGTTCGACAAATTTCCGCCGCCCAGGACGAAATTGCTGGCATTCTCCATGCATACTTCACGTCCTTTCTTACCACGGGTGACCCTAATGCGGTGCCCGGTAGATTTCCAGATAGACCCAAGTGGAAGCCTTTTGGTAGTGGGTGGTGGTGGAAAAATAGGACGCTTATGCTATTTGGGGAAGGGAATGATGAGCGGGCAGGGGGCGGTGGGGTTGGGATTCCGGCACAGGTAGTGGACGATGACTGGAGTCAGGAAGAGTGTGAGTTTTGGTCGGATAGGAGTATCATGACGGAATCTTAATGCCCCGGCATGTAGTTATATATATATATGTGTGTGTGGGGTGTGTTATGCGAGGGCAGTTTAAATATAGGGAGGAA